TATTGGCTTTTTCGTTTTTTAGTTTGGTTCTTCAATTATTATTTTTTTTTTTTACTTGAACTGGAGATAATTTTATTATAATTTATTTTATGATTACAAGCTCCATTAACATATTAGATGCACTACAGGTACCACACCCGTGTCAGCAGCGGGGTAACTGTCAAGCTCAAGAAACCTAAATTTACCGATCATCATTTACATAGGTCAAATAAAAAATTATCATCATGACAAAATGGGGAAAAACCCTCATGTGAGGGTTTTCGTCCTGCAAAGAGGTTTCTACATACTAGTTCTTTTTATTATTTTCCAGGAAACCGACAGCACGACACCAGCACAGGAGATTTGTTTATAGTGGTGAAGGTTTCGTGCAGGACCATCCACACTTTTTGAAGAGCCGAATTCAGAGACCTGGTGCACTACGTGCCACAAGGTCCCCAAACGACCCTCCGCAGGTTTTGTATTCAGAGTTATCCTTCTCCTAGACCAGTTATAGAACTCCTATAGAACCCAGTCTGTCCTGCTATTTACCTGCTAGAAGAAGAGAATTCACACCTTTCCCAAGAGTATTAGCACGTAATGGATTCGACTGGAATTCGAACTCGGCTCTGCGATTCCTCAATCCAAGCCGCTATCCATTACTCCACCGTGCCTCTTCCGAAGGAATATTAATATACAACCTAGTGTTGAAAGATTTAATTTTTAATATATATATATATATATATATATATATATATATATATATATAAAAATTAAAATCTAATATATATAAATAATATATATATATATATTAAAAATTAAAAATCTAATATATATATATATATATATATATATATTTAATAAAATTAAAAAAACAATATATATATATATATATATATATATATTAAAATTAAATCCAATATATATATATATATGTCTGAAGATTTTAATATATATATATATATATACATCAGGAGAAAATAATTTTCTTCAGACACTGGGTTGTATATTAATATTCTTCGTTTTAGCAGGAGAAAATAATTTTCTAACTACAAAAATGAATGTCTTGAAAAATGAATTTTGTCATTTGTCATGAACTTTTCATTTTTGTGTTGGTTCCTTTTAAGCTGTTAAATAAGGCTGGATGGATGTCTCATTTTGTCAGTTTTATTGGTTCCTGGAAAGGGATGTGTGTGTTAAGTGTGTGTGTGTGTTATTTGGTTCTTAGGGAGTGAGTAAATATGATGTGTGTAAGTGTGTATATTCGTGTGGGGGTGTGTATAAGTGTGAGGCCTCAACACCTCTGTAAGCATGCCTGTCTTGTGTGGGTGGGAAATGTGGGTAGGTTTTGTTTTGTAGGGTTATATATTAATACTATCTATATTGTTAAATTTATGGTTAAGCCCGGCTGGATAGTTAGCTTTTTTAATAATTTTAAATATAGATAGATAGATAGATAGATAGATAGATGGAAGTGTTTGGACTTACAGCATAACCAATCTCATTCGTTTTCTCACTGCTTTTGTTTTTGGGCTTTGTGACCTTCGCTATATTGTCGCCATTTGCTAATTTCTTCCTACATTTACATACGTTACAAATTAAACTAAGTACAACTGACTATTGAAGGCTAAAAAAATGTTCGTGAATGTTGACGTCATTCTGCGTTCTTTTTCCTTTCGTCCAAATTCCGTGAATTTGTTTTCCTCGTTCATGCTAAGTCCCGAAAAAAATTACTGTATAAAATTCAATATTTTTCATTCATTGGCTGAATGCGTTAAAATTATTTAACCTTTTAATGAGAAAAAATGTCATGGTTATGTTAAAAACTGCCGCAAAACATGAATCGTTTTTTTATGATGAGGAGGCACGGTGGAGTAATGGATAGCGGCTTGGATTGAGGAATCGGAGAGCCGAGTTCGAATTCCAGTCGAATCCATTACATTCACTTACGTGCTAATACCCTTGGGAAAGGTGCGAAACCTCTTCTTCTCGCTCCAGCTATGGGTAAATAGCAAGACAGACCGAGTTTTGTAGCCTTGGATGACAACTGATCTAGGAGAAGGAAAACTTTGAATTCAAAACCTGCGGAGGGTCGTTTGGGGACCTTGTGGCACGTAGTTCACCAGGTCTCTGTAATCGTTTCTTCAAAAAGTGTGGATGGTCCTGCACGAAACCATCACCATTATAATCAAATCTCATGTGCTAAACATGCACGTTGGGGACCGCTTGCGAATTCCAAATTCCCATGAAACTCCAATATTGGAGCCGGCTCAACCCACCTCGGGTGAAGGCCGTTACAAGAACAAGAAGAGAAGTATAACTACTTAGAATTGCTTTGTCTACATCGTGGTATTCTTTGGGAAAATGGAAGTTTGTAATAGTTTACACAGATGTCATGTGTAACTGTTATTGGAGACAAGATAATAAAAAAGGGGAAAAAATTGCATTCTTTTTGTGTGGCCTTGAAAATAGTTGAAATAAAAATATGAAAATATGAACTTCGGACAGTTTATCTACAACTCCAAGCACAATACTCAATACAATAAAAAAAATAAACAGGCAGATGTTGGTTTTTTTAATCAAAATTTTTTGGTTATGTATATACAGGGTTATTCAAAAAAAAAGAGCAGATTTCGAAAAAATTTAATAAAATCAAATGCTAGGAGACAGAAACACATTCAACACATTTCTCGATAGGAGAATTGTCAAAATTATTAAAATAAATGATTTTTTTTTTCAATCTCGTTTAAATGCTTCTTTTTTTTTTTTCGTTGTAATTTGTGGAAAAGACGATCTTGTTCATCATCTGTGATCTCCAAGGTCAACAAATCCTACCCCATGCGATTTTTATCTGTGGGTGTATAGAAAGGGTTTTGTTCGGCATCTGTCTGCCACTCTTGAATAATTGAGACATCAAATCGTTTAAGCTGTGAAGCCAATATTCACAGATAAATTGACTTGTGTGACAAGAAGTGGAATACTGTTTCATCTTTGAGTGCATTGAAGTTGAACAGCATTAAAGTAAGAGACTTTGAACCTTTCGTAATGTGTAGAATATGTTTCTCTCTTAGCTTTTGTTTTTCTTAAACTTTCAAAATATGCTCTTTATTTTTATTAACCCCATATATATATATATATATATATATATATATATATATATATATATATATATATACATAGATAGATTTATTATAATTTTTACATACGGAAAAAAACAGTAAGCTAGTTGTTTTTGTCTGTACGTAAAAATTTATAATAAATAATTATTGCTCTATTCTTGGTATTGAGCCCTCTTGTGAATTAATACGGTGAACATATATTATTTTCATTCTCTTTACATTCGGATATATATATATATATATATATATATATATATATATATATATATATATATATATATATATATATATATAGTATAAAATAATCGATCCGTTAGTAAATCCTAGTAATATTAATTAGAAAAGGTTCAAAGTTATTAAAATAGATGAATTTTTTTCAATCCTGTTTAAATGCTTCTTTTTGTTGGTAATGTGTTTCTGTCTTTGAGTATTTGATTTTATTAAATTTATTTTTGAATAACACTGTACAGGCACACACACACATTTATATATATATATATATATATATATATATATATATATATATATATATATATATATATATACATAAAAGTGTGTGCGGTCGGTAAATTGTTGCCATTTTATATTTTAATTTCACGCATGCGCGTTGTTTGTTTTTAATTTTGTCGACTACACAATATAGTAGCGTCAGTTGGGTATTGTCTATAAGATAAAGACCACCATGACGCAATTCACTGCGTCAGAAATTTGGAAACGGCATGCTCTACTCCTTGGCATTCGCGCCGGAAGCTCCAATACGAAAATTTCAGAGTGTTTATGTGTCAATCTGAGGAGAGTATTGTGGATTCGAAAAGAGTTGGATGAGTTTAATGGTGATTACGAAGATACGGCAGATCAGAAAACTCTCTTTGATCGTTCTGATAAGAAAAGAATTCCCGAATTTGTTGGTGAAAGCCTCAGACGCAACACGGAGACCTACATCAAATGCATTGAAGAGACAGTGCTGCCCTGGGTCAAGAGGGTGGCTGCTGGATGACAGTATATCTAGCAACAGGACTCTATGCCATACAAACAGGAGAACCCATTCATGGCTACCAGACAATTTCTGCAACAACATCATCATTTATATCTGGCCACCTAAAAAAGTGTGGATGGTCCTGCACGAAACCTTCACCACTATAATCAAATCTCATGTGCTATACATGCGGGTTGGTGACCGCTTGTGAATTCCAAATTCCCATGAAACTCCAATATTGGAGCCGGCTCAACCCACCCCGGGTGTAATGCCTTTACAAGAGAAGACAAGAAGAGATGAGAAGATCTGTTATACCATGTCTCTAATTTGTATTTAGATACATATTTTGACTATCGCAGTCATTTTCAAGAAATAATGGGGTGTCTGCATGCTACTTAGAACTGCTTTGTCTACATCGTGGTATTCTTTGGGAGAATGGAAGTTTGAAATAGTTTATACTGATGTCATGTATAACTGTTATTGGAGACAAGATAATAAAAAAGGGGGAAATTGCATTCATTTTGTGTGGCCTTGAAAATAGTTGAACAAAAAAATAAAATATGAACTTCGGACAGTTTATCTACAACTTCAATCACAATACTCAATGCAATAAAAAAAATAACCAGGCAGATGTTGTCGGTTTTTTTTAATCAAAATTGTTTGATTAGTGAGAGTTTAACAAAACTCTTTGTAACACCAAAGATAAAATGAAGGTAAAGATTATGGCAGCATTCACCAACTTAAACAGGGAGACGGTCCATGAAAGATGGAGAAGATTCTGAAATAGTCTGAAGGCCATGGTTGAAGCCACTGGCAAGTTTATTGAATAAATTTTCACTTTATAATTATAATTTTTGTGTAATTCTGGTAAATATATTTGGTAAAATGAAATGTCGGGGATATTTTCATTTTTGCGTAATTTAGACAACTTATCCATCGCACCATAGATAGATAGATAGATAGATAGATAGATAGATAGATAGATACGAACAGGCAGAGATAGATAGATAGATAGATATAGATAGAATAGATAGAGATAGATAGATACGAACAGATAGATAGATAGATAGATAGATAGATAGATAGATAGATACGAATACGAACAGGCATAGATAGATAGATACGAACAGGCAGAGATAGATAGATAGATGAATAGATAGATAGATAGATGAGATCAGATAGATAGATAGATAGATAGATAGATAGATAGATAGATAGATAGATACGAACAGGCAGAGATAGATAGATACGAACAGGCAGAGATAGATAGATAGATAGATAGATAGATAGATAGATAGATAGATAGATAGATACGAACAGGCTGAGATAGATAGATAGATACGAACAGGCATAGATAGATAGATAGATAGATAGATAGATAGATAATGGGGCAAAGATTCATAGCTCAATGAATGGAGGTAGAAAATTTATATAAACCCGAGGGCCATCTGATTGTCAGTAAAGGAACGTCTCGGCAGCCATTATATGAATGTCGCGAGTTGCCAACCCTTCCCCAATAAAATAAAATCAACAACAAGCACTGTAATATGTCTACACCTAACACTTCCCTATGCCAGCATCCTGAATTATTTTCTTCCCCTCAATAAAAAACTCTTCGCCCCACTTCCACACAATTGAACATTTTTTTTTATTTCTTCGTCTTACATATTCTAGTTTTCAGTTTTCCTTCTTTCTTTTCATTCAGCCATTCAATATTTTATTCTTTAGATTGTCACACTACTCAGAGGTGTTCCACAAAGAATTTCTACCAATTGTCATGCCTTTATACATGCTAAGCAACAGAAAGAAATTGATGCGTTTTCTCCAAAACAAAACTAAAGGAATCGCTACCTCCCACCTTTAAAAGACAATTGCCAAAAAAATATCCGAGAATTATCCAATTTAAACTAAATTTTTTAAATCTTATTCATTGATAAATGAATTGTATACCTATTATTGTCATTAGGAAACTTAGTTTTAAAGGTTGTCTCTCTTATGTTGATAGATGCTGGCTCTTGGCATTTTTGTTATTTGCGAATGGATGGATATATCTCGGATGGTTGTCATACATTTCTCTCTTTAAGAAGATTAAAAAATAGCCGATCTCATCGATCTCTCCATCTATATCATTCTGTATAAATCTACTTTATCTATCTATCTATCTATCTATCTATCTATCTGGCTGGCCGGCTGGCTGGCTATTTACTTATCTGTCTGTCTGTCTTTCAGTATGTTTAAATCTATCTATCTATCTAGGGTATTCCATTTTAAATCTCATTCTGTTTAAATTTATCTATCTATCTATCTATCTATCTATCTATCTATCTATATATATATATATATATATATATATGTGTGTGTGTGTGTGTGTGTGTGTGTGTGTTTGTCTGTTTAAATCTATCTAGGGCTTTCCATTTTAAATCTATCTCATTGTGTTTGAATTCATCTATCTATCTATATATCTATCTCTATCTCTCTCTCTCTCTCTCTCTATATATATATATATATATATATATATATATATATATATATATATATAAAGGAATGTATCTATTATTGCTATTAGGAAACTTAGTGGAAATATTTTTAGGGGTCAGTTTCCTCCTTTTCTAAACCGCGTGTCTATGTTTTAATTTGGGTATAGTGTTTTTGTTTTTTTCAGTTATGTACAGATAAATCATTGAAGATGTTGTTTCAGTTAAAAAATGCAATATATATATATATATATATATATATATATATATATGTATGTATGTATGTACATATATATTAAATCGGTATCACCCCATGCAAGGCAAGTAAAAACACTAACCCACAAGGGGTTAACAGGGTGAGGAAGAATTAAGAACAGAAACATTAATAATGAACCAGTAAAATGAAAGAGTAATCAGGAGTACATAAGCAGAGATTGACATAGCATTTAAATTTTTGCAGATTAAAGTTGGCTGGAATCCTGGGGTCAGGAGGGACTTTCACAAGCGAAATATGCGAGAAAAGTAACTGTTAAATAGAACCTACGGTTACATCTAGCCAGGTCAGTATATATATATATATATATATATATATATATATATATATATATATATATATATATATATATATATATTATATATATATATCATCATCGAGTCTAGAAGAAACCTCAACAGAATGCAGAAAGCACTGGACAGCCGTTTCATCCTATATTTGGGACTCATCAGCAGTGCGCATCCACTACCGAGAATTGAAACCAGTTACGATAGGAGGCAAACGCCATACGAACTGTACCAAGGTTGTTGGTGACGAAGAGGTAAACAATTCTCGGGTTTCAATTCTCGGTAGTGGATGTGCACTGCTGATGAGTCCCAAATATAGGAGGAAACGGCCGTCCAGTGCTTTCTGCATTCTGTTGAGGTTTCTTCCAGACTCGATGAATTAATTATCTCAAATTCTCCTTAATTTCTATCATTTGTATATCCTTGCTTGAACCGGCTTCTAATGCTCTGGATGGAGCGGCTTGGGGATGTCGGAGTTAACTCCTCCTTCAGTTCGTAACCCTTTCACCAGGGGTCTCTCTTTCCTGGCTATAAATAGCCAATGACCCTTCGCCTCTATCTCTTTTTTCCTTCAGGCCTGTGCACTAACACCTCGAGGTAAAGCTCTATGGGGGGGGTTGTAAACAGTGACTATTACGGCTAATAATTAATGACTCTTCGGTAAAACGTCACCGTGTGTTTATCTAAAAATAAATACACTTAAATTCACTTTCTTACCTGCCGTGAGACAACGGCTTGGGAGTAAAATCGTAGTCGAAGATTTTATCCTCAAGTCGGGTTTCGATCCTAGCTAGAGGCAACCGGATGTCTAGCCACACTGATCAGTGATATATATATATATAGTCGATCCTCCCGTCGAATTCGACGTATGAGGGTCAAGCAGATCAGTTCGCAGGAAACCGACAGCCCGACAACAGCACTTGAGATTTGATTATAGTGGTGAAGGTTTCGTGCAGGACCAGCCACACTTTTTGAAGGGACGAATACAGAGACCTGGTGCACTAAGTGCCACAAGGTCCCCAAACGACCCTCCGCAGGTTTTGAATTCAGAGTTTTCCTTCTCCTAGACCAGTTGCCATACAAGGCTATAGAACCCAGTCTGTCCTGCTATTTTACCCATAGCTGGAGGGAGATGAAGAGGATTTCATACCTTTCCCAAGAGTATTAGCACGTAAGTGAATTTAATGGATTCGACTGGAATTCGAACTCGGCTCTGCGATTCCTCAATGCAAGCCGCTATCTATTACTCCGCCGTGCCTCCTATTTCTAAGTGGTTACTCAGACGTCCCGGAAAAAATCTATACTGAATATTTATTTTTTGAAATTTATTTGTAATTTTTTAGTGCGATTTTGAAATTTATTTCGTGGTTTGACAGTGAAATTGTGGACTCATCCAATATCCTCACCTTTCCAACCTATAAAAAGTACAGTCCACGTCGTACGCCTACGTACTAAAAAACCTCAACCAATAGAAATGGCGAAAATCGAAGCAAGCAACCCCATTGGTCAATCACTTACAGAAACAGAAATTGCGCCAAAACGAGTTGAGCCACTTTTGAAAACACAAATAATATAAAAGAAAAAGCAGACAGCCCCATTCAGTCAGTCTCGCTAACCCACCGAGTATTTGCTAAAATACTCCACGACGTTTCTAACCATAATTTTGCCGCGCTTCAAGGGAACATTGACTGACTCTAATCGAACATTCAACGAACGACTCTTGAACCTCTTTACTTAGCTCCTTATATATAATGAATTATATTCATTACTAAGATAAGGAATAAAATACGATTAAGGGTAGACTACTTCGGAAAACTCTTTTCCAAAACCCTTAAATTTCACTATCACAATCTTCGACATAAACAAGAAAATAACGAACATTACGAAACAAGAGACATTCATTATCTAAACCATACACATACAACTCACGCACACGACCCACACAGATTTTATCCAAATTGTAAATGACCCATTGTATATAAATGTTGTATTGTTTTTAATCTATATATGTCTCGTTTTTCTTGTTTTGAATATAACGATTGTTTGTTTATTTGTTTGGGACGTAGTGAAACACGCAACCATTAACAATAAACCCTTCTGATATATTTAACGACACCGATGTCCCAACAAAATGTTTAATGCTATTTTCGAGTTTTAAGATTTTTTAAAGGTTTACAAGCCTATCACTGTACTATTTTCCTGGACAGTGCTTAGACGAACCGCACCTTTGTGCCTTGTGCAAATTAATTGAAACAAAACGAATAACTCCATTATTATTTACTTTTTTTTCATATTTTTCCAATGAAACATGATCCAGTGCACATATTAGTACTTCGTATGTCCATTCCACGAAATCGTTCCTTGCAGATTGACTCCAGATTTTCAACTGGATTTAAATTAGGTGTTGTGGTAGGATCCACCTAATTTGCATACTGGAGTACCGACCATATAAATATGGTTGTTACCGGGACGAGAGGGAGGAATCAAGAGATACACTCTCAGTCGAACTCTCTGCATTTTGCAGTGAGGGACCCGGACGAGGCTTTGCCGAGGGGCAGGGTTTCGTCCGGGGTAGTAGACAGGCCTTGAACCCGTCTAGGCGGGTTCAGAAAGGCCATATTTTTGGCCGAGCCTACGGGCTCGGAGATACCCACTTTAAACCGGCCTTGTGCCATATTTTATCCTCGTGGGTGGATAGATAAATACAGGAATCAAGAGATTCAACCAGAGACTCTGCCCGACTGCGACTCAGTCAACACATTCTCCAGGAACGGTCTTACCTGGAATATACAAAAGACTATATGTAAATATTGTGTACACTTTCTTGTTTCAATACATTTTGTTCTAAGTACATTTTGTGTTGCATTATTATTCCATGCATTAGTCAAGTTTCAACATCAGGAAAGTTCCCGGGCCAGTCTATAGTATTTTAATTTGTTCGCTGGTTACAAATTTAGTACGCTTCCTTGGAATAACGTCCATCGCAGACAATGGCTGTACGACGACTAAGCGACAGTCGAGGTGTATATGCGTGATAAAAATCTGATGCAATCACGAATGACGCAATATTTTTCAAAGCCAAACAGATTTTATCATACACCCCGAAAATAGATTCATATTACTGCACATCACAGCAAATGATTGACGATTGACTCCAGATTCTCGACTGGATTTAAATCAGGTGTTGTGGTAGGATCCACCTAATTTGCATAGTGGAGTACCGACCATATAAATATGGTTGGTACCGGGAAGAGAGGAAAAAATAGAAATCGATTACACCCTGTCATTCCAGTAACTGTATGGTGAAAGAAAGGAAACTAAAACAATTGTCTCAATTAATTTGCACAAAGGTGTACCTTCCATAATTTTACCAGTTCTAACCTTCGAGAGCAAGGCAGGCCATGCCACGCCCATTGTAACGAACCACTATCATTCCCTTTGTATTCCACTGGTGAGATGTAAGTTCCAATCAAGCAGCTGCTTCCCATGAACAGCTGCTTTGTTGAACAGAGAATGCTTCCCCAATCATTATAGTGTTAATTTGTTCATGTCTATGGTTAACCGTTATCTTTCCGACCTATCTGCACAAACTGTGCTTCTTACTCTGTAACCCTCTACCTTGAGTGGCTCCGGGGGCTTTGTACAGGGTGAACATCAAGTATAACCTCGAGGTAATATTCTTTATTGATTGTTGGGCCTTGTGGTGTGTCTTCATCTTTCAATCTCACTCTGTATCCGATCTCTGTCATTTGATATCTCTTATCTCGGCCGGTCTCTATTCCATGTTGACCTCTGTCTCTTGCTGGGTGTTACTATAACCTAGAACAGCTCTTTCTATTCTGAATATTTTTTTAGATCTTTTTTTTTTTCAGCCGATTTTATCAATGCCATCGCTCGCGCCTAAATCATGGCAGTCATTAACTATTCATTATATATGCAAATTCAATATATATATATATATATATATATATATATATATATATATATTAAAAAAGAGAGGTGCCGCAAACGTTTTTGGTTGTAATGTAGATTTATTTAGAAAAAATATTATGCTTTGTTTTACATAATTTTACGACACGTGTTTCTGGTTTCTGGTGTACTGATTACTTGTGGTGGGATAGTGTGTATGTGCGTATGTGTGTGTATGCGTGTATAGGTACAAATAAGTTTACGAATTTCTCGTAGTAAGACAGTATGTATGGAGGGGAAATATACGCACGCATATATACACGCATGCTGACAGGAACACACCAAAATAGAAACAGATCCAAGAGCACATAGGGGTCACTAAAACATTAAAATATAAAATGCCGATAACTACTCGCTGGACAAACCTTAAATGTTTTATGATCCTTCATTGACAATTCTAGAAAGAAAATTCGGATTACCAACACACAAACAGAGAATGTCTCATATCGAGAATATTTCACATTGAACATGAAGGAAAATTAATTATTTTTAATAATATGTAGAAATCTCCACCTTTACCTGAAGACGGTCGCGAGACCAGAAACACATGTCGTAAAATTATGTAAAACAAAGCATAATATTTTTTCTAAATAAATCCACATTACAACCAAAAACGTTTGCGGCACCTCTCTTCTTTTTAATATACATACTTTTCTCTCGTTGGAACCACAACAACATATTTCTTTTATATATATATATATATATATATATATATATATATATATAGTGTAAACCGGATATAAGAGAAACCCGGATATAAGAGAGATTTTCTCTGGTCCCAAATTAGATCCTGTACTAATGTATATAAAATAGACCAAACCCAGATATAAGAGAAACCCAGATATAAGAGATTTCTTCTCCGGTCCCGACAACTCTCTTATATCCGGGTTACACTATATATATATATATATATATATATATATATATATATATGTTGGGCTAGCTGGCTGGCTGGCTGGCTGGTTGGTTGGCTATTTATCTATCTTTCTGTCAGTCTTTCAGTCTGATTAAATCTATCTCTCTAGGGTATTCCATTTTAAATCTATATCCTTCATATTTACATGTTGTCTTAGTTTCCTTTCTTTCACCATACACTCACTGGAGTGACAGGGTGTAATTGATTTGAACAGACTGACATAGATATGAACAGAATGTGGTAGATATATTTGAAAAGAATGAGATAGATAGATAGATAGATAATTATAAAAACATAGATAAATAGATAGGTAGGTAGGTAGGCAGGCAGGTATGTAAGGAGGGAGGTTGATAGATATAAAGATATTTATGAACAGACTGACATAGATATGAAAAGAATGTGATAGATAGATAGATAGATAGATAGATAGATAGATAGATAGATAGATATGAACAGGCTGAGATAGATAGATAGATGGCATTTATCAATCCACCCACGGGGATCGAATGTGGCACAAGGCCTTTTTAATGTGGGTATCTCTGAGCCCGTAGGCCCAGCCAAAAATAAATAACCATCCAAACCCGACGAGGCGGGACAGTTCCGTCAACCTCCCCCAACGAAACCCTACACTTCGGCGGAGCCTCGTCCGGGTTCCTCTCTGCAAGCAGAGAGTTCGACAGACACCCGACCCGGCAGCTCACAAAGCGCAGATACTACACTTTGATCCTAGCCACCGGGCCGAGTGGGTATTCTTTTTATAGAGATAGATAGATAGATAGATAGATAGATAGATAGATAATGAACAGGCTGAGAAAGATAGATAGAGAGATGTTGAAGAGAATGTGATAGATAGATAGATAGATAGATAGATAGATAGATGTTGAAGAGAATGTGATAGATAGATAGATAGATAGATAGATGTTGAAGAGAATGTAATAGATAGATAGATAGATAGATAGATAGATAGATAGATAGATAGATAGATATGAACAGACTGGCATAGATATGAAAAGAATGTGATAGATATATTTGAACAGAATGAGATAGATGTCCAATACAGGGGCACGAGCTCGAGTAATTAAAACGCTCACATTCCGAGCATGCGACTCGGGTTCAAATCTCACCATAGTCGATTTGTCAGCAAGGTGACTTCTTTTATGTTATTGGTACGCGGGAGGCGATTCCAGTGTGCAGCACCTTTGGAAAGTCCCTGAAAAACCGTACCCAAGTTTGACCCAAGTCTTGTGAGTGAAATTGGGTAGACAGAACTATTTGAGAGCCATCGATGAGTGTGCTAGCACAAAGTTACAAGTCATCGTGAACGAGGGCTGATATAGTCTGTTGATCAAACAGATAATATGCAGAAACTGTAACTAAGGTCTGCTCAGCATAGTTGATAGATATAAAGGGGCTCTGTAGGTGCTGAACAAATAAATGTGCCTGAGAATAGATCTAAAACAAGGATTGATAGATATATTTGTAACAGAATGAGATTCTTGATACGATCATAAGAGAAAAAATTACATTAGAAATAATAGAATATAAAAGACTAATCCTGTCCATAGATTAGATAGGTGTGTAGGTTGATCTCCATAACTAAATATCCGATAAATGTTGCTTTGACTTGTCTTTTTTTAGATATCCTATGATTAGGTGGTAAAAGAAAGATAGGAAGAAATTGACAATGGTCAATAGCATAAAAATAGTTGTCAACAAGAAGAACATCCTCAGGTACAAACTGCGAAATGGAGATGCAACGATCAAGCAAATACAGAAATTTAAGTGTAATGGGATATATTTTAAGAGATTGTTAAAAATATGAAACTGAAATCTGAAGGTGGAATGGAATAGTGAAAGATGCCTTCCAAAAGCTAAGCAAAATATATTTAGTTCTAGACAAACATTAGGCAAAACTAAAATAAACTAAAAATCAGAAGATTCCAAATCTAGTTCTTAACCTAGTATCCTTTCTTCTCAAACATGGTATTTACAATTATTTACATTATTCGAACTGTTGTCCTCATCTTTGTCGCCATTTGATTATAAAAATTAGATAATAGATAAATATGAACAGACTACCTCTAGATTGTTGGCAGTGGTAGACTGGTAGGTTGATAGATTTTTTAAAACATTTATCAATTGTCATAATTTGATATAAACAGAAATTCATAGAATAGAACAGAAACTAAATAGATGAATAAAAAAGATAAATTAAAAAAAGAAAAATAGAAAAATATGAAAAATTAAAAAAAAAAAAAAAAAGATAGGTAAACATAAAAAGAAATAAAAGACAGAAAAATTTCTCAATGTCTGTAGAAAGAAAACAGAATGTGATAGATAGAGGCAACAAATGTCTTGATAAATAGATAGATAGGTAGGTAGGTTGAAGAAGATAGATATAAACAGACCGACATAGATATGAACAGAACGTATAGATATATTTGAACAGGGTTAAAACATCCATAGATAGATAGATAGATAGATAGATTCCGATAGATAGAACAACTGTAAAGTCAATTACACTGTATATGACTGTTAAATGAGAAAACAGAAATTTCTGGGAAAACTTTATTTAATTGAAATAATTATAAGCACGATTTTTAGACGTTTAAGGAAGAGATTCATCTCTCTCTCTCTTTATAACTTTCTGTTATCTCTCTTAGAAATGCAAAAGACGCTTACTACCTCTAGTTTGTTGTGGTGGTGGGGGGGGCTTTTTTTAAAAACATTTTTCAATTGTCTAATTTGGCAAACCAAATTCAAGAATAGAACAGAAACTAAAGTTAAAAAAAAGAAAAATTAAAAAAAAAAAGAAAAATTAAAAAAAAAAAAAAAAAAAAGAGAAAACATAAAAAGAAATAAAAAGCAGAAAAATTTCTCAATGTCTGTCTCTTTCTAGTAATGTTCGAGTTTCTTTCTCTTGTTGGAATGTAGGTAAGTCTTCCACTGACGGTTTTCCTCTTTCTTTGACATAGAAGAGGCGGGTTAAAAACATCCAGGTTGTTGCTAACACCTTCCGCTTCTCTTTCTTCAACTGTAAAGTCAATTACATGACTGTTAAATGTTGAGTCGATATTTCTGTACAAACTTTATTTAATTGAAATAAGTATCGATTTTGCTTATTTCTCTCTCTTTTCTCTCTCTCTCTCTCTTTCTTGTTCTCTCTCTCTCTCTTCCACCCCTTTTCTTTTCTCTTTCTTTCTCTCTCTTTCTCCTCTCCCTCTCTCTCTTTCTTACATTCACCTCTCTTTCTCTTTCGCTATCTTCCACTCCCTTTTCTTTTCTCTTTCTTTCTCTCTCTTTCCCTCTCTCTCTCTCTTTCTTACATTCCCTTCTCTTTCTCTCTACCATTCACTTCTCTCTCTCTCTGTTTATTCCATTCACTTCTTTTTCTCTCTCTCTCTCCACCTCTCCCTGTCTTTCTTACATTCACTTGTAGTTCTCTTTCCCTCTCTCGCGCATTCATTTCGCTCTCTCTTCCATTCACTTCTTTTTCTCTCTCTCCCACACTCTCTTTTACATTCACGTCTCTCTCCTTCTCTTTCCCATTCACTGCTCTCTCTCGCTCCCCATTGCTTCCATTTAATGCTCTCTCTCTCTCTCTTTCTTACATTCACTTCTCTTTCTCTATCTCTCTTCCATTCACTTCTCTTTCTCCCTCTCTCTTCCATTCACTTCTCTTTCTCACTCTCCCTCCCTCTCTCTTTTTATATTCACTTCTCTTTCTCTCTCTTCCATTCTGTCTCTCTCTCCATTTCACTTTCTTGCATTCACTTCTCTTTCTCTCCCTCTTTCTTTCATTCACTTCTATTTCTCTTTCTCTCTCTCTTCCATTCATGCTCTTCTGCTGCTGTAGCCCATCTGCTTCAAGGCTCAATGCACTGAGCATTTAGAGATGCTCTTCTATATGTTAATTATTCTTTAAATATACATGATTTATTTTTGTAACAGAACTTGTCGAGGCTGGAGAGTGAAAACTGGGCATCACCGGACAAGATATGGCAGGCATATGCCACTCTTAGACAAATCTAATTCTTGTAAATTAAATGTCATATTTAGTGTTTGGGTGGACATAGTTCTTTTTTTTTTCTGAAACAGTGAAATTAATATCAACAGGGTTAGGTGAAGAAGACCTTCTAAAGAAAAAAAAGTACCTCTTGCAATAAAATTGTATATTTTTTCTCCATCAGAGAAACCACACTTACAACTTATAAATTTGGCACAATTACCTATGCAAGAAATGAGCACCTCTCGTTAGGACTTTTTTGGATCTATATCTTCTAGTTTCCTTTCCATACCCCAAACATAAACACAGTCATTTTAAAATATTTTTTGATTGAGATAGATAGATAGATAGATAGATAGATAGATTTAAACAGAATGATAGAGATGGAGAGATAGATGAGATTGGTTGTTTTTTAATCTTCTTAAAGAGGAAAATGAATGAGAACCATCCTAGATAAATCCATTCATTCACAAATACAAAACAAATAGCAAAAGCCAGCATCTATGAACATAAGAGAGACCTACATTGAGACAACCCTTTGAACTTGTTCATAATATACAGAAATAAAACAGGCCATAACTTTTTTTTTTTTTTTTTTTTTTTAGCATTTCACCCCAAGCAAGGCGGGAAGCCACTAGGACGCAAGGGGTTACAGAAAATTTAGAGCAAGATCAGATAGGAGTGATAGAAGAAAGAATGAGGAGAAGGGTAATGGATAGATCAAGGCAACTGGAGATGTTGATTGACATTACATTTGAATAGCTGGAGATTATAGCTCTCAGGGAAACTGGAATAGGGAAGGGATTTCCACAGGCAAGAGGTGCAAGACATTAAGCTATTGGAGTAGAAGAGACGGCTACATTTAGGAGTTTCAACAGTGAAAATGTGAAAGCGGGATGCCAGCCTAGTAGGGCGCTTGAACTCATGAAGTCTGGGAACCAGCGAATGCAGATCCTCGGAGCAATTGCTATGAAAGTATTTGTAAAACAGACAGAGAAAGGTGACAGCATGTCTGTGAGAAAGTGACTGTAGACGAGATGCCAGAGCAGGGTCAATTATATTGTATATCCGCCTCTGAAGCCTATCAAGAACCCCGAGGCAAACAGAAGGGGCACCAAACCATTTCAATTTGATAAATGCTACCCTAATTAGAAAAGAACATTTTTTTTATATAGATAATACTTAAAAGGAATCCTAATAAATATTTTACCATTAATAAACACACTTTATTATATCACCAACATTTATAAAGTCCATACTTAAAGAATCTGAGATCTGTCTGTCTACAACCACAACTGGTGTAACTTCAATTCTTTCACCCTCACACAACCCCCCCAGTCAACATACAGATGATGCTAGACATAAATAAAAATATCCACCAGGAACACACATGCACACACATTATCAACTAAATCCTACATAGACCAAACAGAAATATGATACACAAATACACAAAAATTATACATATGAATGTTATCTGACAGGATGAATACATATTAAATTTACTTAACCAATGAATAACAAAAAACAGAAAAAACACCAGAATTTTCTTTTCGCCTTCCTCGACATTTCATCTTCTGATGAAGCTTAAAAGTAAAAGTACAATGTTAAATTTGTTTCCTATAGCCAATGGCCTCAGTTTCTTGTTCTTACCTGACAAGAGTTACCATAGGCATGTGCTTCTGCTGCTGTAGCCCATCTGATTCAAGGTTCATTGTGCTCAGAATTTACAGATGCTCTTCTATATATTAATCATTCAATTATATGCTAGCAGTTTCTTTTCTCACACTTCTCACTTGTGAAACTTCCTTCGGGCACCATGCTTTCCAGCCAACTTTAATCTGCAAAAATTTAAAAGCAATGTCATTTGCTATTTATTGTCCTCCTGATTACTCTTTCCCCTTACCACTTATTATTAATGTTATGCTTCCTAATTTTTTCACATTCTGTGTCTTAGTGGCTTTAGTACCTTAAAAAAGAAAGTAGTAGTTTTAGTAGTTGCAGTAAACTCCCAAGCAAAGTTGAACATCAGCTGATAGAAAGCAAGCAATCAAAGCTGAAGTCAATGGAGATAACTTGACTTTAAAAACATTGGCAAGAGTGTTTCAGTAAATATATTGAATTATTTTTTAATACTAATATTTCTGTGATACTTAGCCAATTGTGGCCTCAGTTTTTTCTTCTTATCTGATAAGAGTTACCATAGGCATGCTCTTCTGCTGCTGTAGCCCATCTGCTTCAAGGTTCATTGTGCTCAGAATTTAGAGATGCTCTTCTATATATTAATCATTCAATTTACTTTAAACATACAGGATATATTTTTTGTAATAGAACATTTATTTGTTTATAATGCCCCAAGAATATAAAGGGTTACAGGGAATGAAAGAGAATGAGAATACCTTATTGAGGAGAAGAGAGGAAAACGACAATAAAGGAAAAGGTTTCAAGAAGACAGAAGATGATGACTGATCATTTAAATTTTTGAAGATAGCAAGCAGCAAGGAAGCAAGAATTCAAAAGAGAGTTCCACAGTAGAGAAGTGTGAGAAATGAAAATATTAGAATATAGCTGACATTTGCATCTATATAGTCTGACAATATAATGGCGAGACATAGTTGCTAATCTAGAATCATGCTTAAAATTATGCTATTGAAGTAATAAGGAGAACAGCTCATCATAACAATCACCATGAAAATATTTGTAGAAAAGACAGAGGGAAGCCACATCATGACAAGATGCCAGGTCTCAGTTTTATCATTTACAAATCCTTTTAGTTAACTATGAATTTGTTCCTAGATTTTTGATTTTCTCCTTTTGACTTTCTTCTTCCATGTTTAATTCCTACTTTCAGTTTCCTTTTCTTTCAATTTAATTTTACTTTCTATTTTTTCTTTTTTCCTTTTTTTGATTTCTATTTCAGTTTCCTTTCCTTTTTCTCCTTTTCATTTGATTTCTACTTTCAGTTTCCTTTCCAATCTAATTTTCCTTCAGTTTTCTTTTCACTATTTCACTTTTTTTCATTTGATTTCTACTTTCAGTTTCCTTTCCTATTTTCCTCCTATATTCACTTTACTTTTCATTTGATTTCTACTTTCAGTTTCCTTTTCTTTCAATCTAATTTTACTTTCAGTTTTCTTTTCTATTTTGCTTCTATATTCACTTTCCTTTTTCATTTGATTTCTACTTTCAGTTTCCATCCACATTTTAATTTTACTTTTGTTTTCTCTCTCAGTTTTGTTTTTTTCCTCTCACTTTGTCCATTTAATTCATAGTTTTACTTTGTCTATTTAATTTCTTCTTTCACTATCTCCCTGTTTCAATTAATTCTCTCTCCCTCTCTCTTTCATTCTTCAGCTTTCAAATTTCATTTTGACTGCAAACATGATATTTTTACTTAAACAACTGATTTCTGATTTGACTTTCTGTTTTATTTCTAAACCTTTGCTACTTTTATTTGTATTCAATTTTAAGAGCTGAATTTCTAACTATCAAACAATATTGTTTTTTTTTTCTTAAAAGGAAAACACTGTCTGATTATATTCTGAACTGAAGACTTCAGGCAAGAAATCCAACAAATGCAAATTGCATGTAGCTTATCAGGACTTGTTAGCATTTGGAAACCCACTTGTTAATTTTGAGTCAATGAGACTAGTTGTGAAACGGAAGTATGGGGAATAGCATTAAAGAAATAAATAGGGGGATATTGATGGCAGGGAAAGGATGGAAAAGAAAGAAAGAAAGAAAGAAAGAAAGAAAGATATCAGTGAGAAAAATAAAAGAGAGTAAGACACCAGGGAAAGAGAGAGAAAAAAAGGACAAAAGAGAAAAAAGAAACACTACTACAAAGAAAAATGTCCAAGAAGACAAAGAAAGAAAGAAAGAAAGAAAGAAAGAAAGAAAGAAAGAAAGAAAGAAAGAAAGAAAGAAAACAAAGAAAAACAGAACAATGAAAAACGGCCTAGAAGACAAAGAAAGAAAGAATGAATGAATGAATGGATGAAGGAAGGAAGGAAGGAAGGAAGGAAGGAAGGAAGGAAGGAAGGAAAGGAGGGAGGGAGGGAGGAAAGAAAGATTTAAAAAGGAAAGAAAAGTAAAAAGAGAAAAAAAAAGGAAAAGAACTAATAACAGAAAGAAAATCGTCCAAGAAGACAAAGTAAAAAAGAAAGGGAAAAGCGAAAAATTAAAAGAAACAATGTAATAAAGAAAAACGCCTTAAAAGACAAAGAAAGAAAGAAAGAAAGAAAGAAAGAAAAAATGCTAAAACAAACAAAAACGGCCAAGAGTAGAAAGAAAGAAAGAAGAAAAAAGAAAGGAAAAATGAAAAAATAAAAGAAATAATGTAATAAAGAAAACACCTTAGAGCACATAGAAAGAAAGAAAGAAAGAAAGAAAGAACGAAAGATGAAAGAATGCAAAAAAGAAAAAGCAAAGCTAAAACAACCAAAAACGGCCAATAAAAAAAAGAGAAAGAAAGAAAAAAAGAGAAAAAATGAAACATTAAAAGAAACAATATAACAAAGGAGGAAAATACTTCAGAAGAAAAAGAAAGAATGAAGGAGTGAATGAAAGAAAGAGAATGAAAGAAAGAGAAAAATGAAAAACAGCCTAGAAAAGAATGGAAGAAAGAAAGAAAGTATTTTTAAGAAAATCAAAAATGAAATTAGTTTTTATGTAAATTGAAGCAAAAAAGGAAAGAACAATAAAAATGAAAAAAAAAGAAATTGAATGAAATGCAAGGAAAGAAAAGAATGAATAAAAAACAGGAAAATAAATAAAAGTCAGAGGGAAAATCTGGAAAAATGAAAAAAAAATGTGTGAAAGAAAATATCTGAAAAGAAAGAAAGCAAGAAAGAAAGATAAAATTAGAAAAAATAAAAGTGAAAGAAA